ATTAACGATCTTTACAAAACTAACGCCACCAACGGTAACTAGCTTCGCCAATCGCCAATTCGATTTTCGGAAAAAAGTCCACTTGGCGCGCCTGCTCTTCTGTATAGATACCTCAAAAAATACACATATGGGTAATAGTTCATATATGGGCATCGAAGTTTTAGAAAGCAACAACAAATTCCGGGGAAAATATTGTACATTCTCCGAAATTAATTCAAAGTTTGGTGACATAGTCGCTTCAAAAATATTCGATTGTAAATTATACTGAATGAATAGTCCATCGTGAAATCAACTGGATATCATATAAATCTTTAATATTATATTCATTTGAATCAAGTGAGAATTTTGACTACTCCAGGTCAGTAATGTTACAATCCAATGATGAAGTAGTGATGCGTTCATCCCTAATGAAGTGATCGGTAACAATCGGTGTTTCGCATCAAGGGCCACAGAGTGACACAGTGTCAACTAAGATATGTCCTTGATTAATTACCGTTGTCCTTCTCGACACTGTGTTACACATTACCTTATAATGGAAGGTGCCATGTGTGACTGATTTACACCAAAGCCGTGCGCGCCAAGTGGACTTTTTTCCGAAAATCGAATTGGCGATTGGCGAAGCTAGTTACCGTTGGTGGCGTTAGTTTGGTAAAGATCGTTAATTTAAGAGTGCTCGCACATAAATAAAAGGCAGCTAACACATGGGCATATGACAACATGTATCAGCTATGTGGATTCTCAAGCCGGCACTTTGTGGAGGGCTTTGTCTTCTTTAGAGTTTCCAATGGCGACCGTTTCATTTATTTACATTACTGGATTCAGTCACTTGAGATGTTCAGTCCCTCTAATCAATACGATTTGTGAAGGACATGTGTTCGGTTGTCTACCGAATTTTTCTTTCACACACACACGCACTCAACTCACATGACCCACTCAGCTGATTGAAGCGCTCACTTCAGATGACCAGTGGCCTTTTACCTCTGACACCTGAGACGCCACTTGATGGACAGGTGTAATTGACCATCGCGATGATCGACACCTGCCACCTTGCGGCTTATCACTCTCTCTCATTTTGCATTTCGCCGTTCGAGAGTGTTTACGCCCATTTCGCAGAACTTCGCTTCTTTCTCTTTAATTAGACCTGCTCATGATTAGTTCTTCTCAGAACTAAATCTATAATTCACTCAATTATATTACGTATTGCTCAGCTCTTTATTGTGATATTCAAGTGTAATTAGTGACTCTTTTTGACAATTAAACTGGACTTTCTTGACCAACGCCGCGCGAGTGATTAATTGATCCTCTCACGCATCCTCCTGTAATCCGAAAATATCTAGTCGATCTCCTAAAAATACCCCTAAAACCCGATCCCGCATCGAACATTTTGGTCCTTCGAGCCGAATACGCGGGATATTTTTTAGTTTTCCCGCTCATTTAGTGTTTTACGGGAGTGTTAATTGGACGGCGTCAGTGTTCAGTGGAGCTCAACGTGCAGAGTCGACTCCCGAATAAATTTGAATTCGTCCAGCTCAAGCGGTACTCATCCAGTTCTTCTCTCTCCACTTCAGCGACCTGGTTTACCGACCCAGCAACTAGGCGCATCTTCATCGACCAGCTCAAGGAGGCAAAATTTAAATAGATCTGCTCAACTAAAGGGAAGTGAATATTATTTCTCTTTAGCTATTACTGAATTTTCTCACCTGCTTAAGAACTGAAATTCGCTGGCGGTTTCTTTTATTATTTTTTCACTGCTTTCGCCTCTGCTATCGGCCTGCGTTTTTGGTCTCTGTTTTCGATCACCTCTATTTCTCAGCTCATTCCTGCCGTCATTTGCTTTCTTGATTTTTACTGCTTTCTTGTCTTTGTTTTTTTTAATTTCGTTTTTCTCTCAAAACCATAAAAAATAAAAAATGGCAACTCTCGAAGCAGCAATATGTCTGCCAATGTCTCGCGCTGCCTTCATAGATGGCATTTTTAAGGAGTCCAATGAAGAGGACATCAAGCTACTCGGCGTGACTGCTCTCGATTCAAAATTGATGATGCTCGAGAATTATTGGGCTAAGCTGGAAGCCTCTCACGAGAAGTTAGTTGCACAAAAAATCGAGAATTTGATCTCTCTCGATTATTTCAAGCAGCAGGTCTTTGATTCAGCTCTAACGAACTTCGCCGCTGCTAAGGTGGCGCTGCTACAGCTCCTGGAGAAGAAAGGCGCTCCAAACCTGAACCAGTCACTACGTGTACCTGGGGAAGGACATTTGACCAGCTCCTACTCGACTACTACTCGTCGTGCTCCGCCTGAGATTTCTCTGCCAAAATTTTCAGGCATCTATCAGGAATGGAGGCCTTGGAGAGATCTTTTCCAATCGTTAGTTGGCACCAATCAGGACATTCCAGGGGTCGAGAGGATGCACTACCTCCTCCTCTGTCTCTCTGGTGAGCCTCTCAAGCTCATCTCCAACTTGCCCGTCTCTGAAGATTCTTTTCGTATTGCCTGGAGGACTCTCGTTGATCGCTACGAGAACAAACGCTTACTTGTTGCAGCTCACCTTGACCAGCTCCTGAATCCAGCTCAGATGAAATCGCACAGCGCGTCTGACCTCAATCTCTTGACCAGCTCGATCTCTGAAGCCCTCAGCGCACTCAAAGCTCTGGATCAGCCAACTGATCATTGGGGTCCTGTGGTCGTTCATGTCCTCACTCGTCGGCTATCGAACAAGCTCAGGGAGGCATGGGAGAATAAGATCGGCGCCTCCACTGAATATCCTTCTCTTGACCATCTCCTTGATTTTCTCCAAGGTCGCTCTCGAGCCATGGAGACTCTGGAGGTTGGATCGTAGTCGCTCTCTATAACAAGCTCATCTCGTCCTTCTCAAACCACAATTCAGACTCAATCCATGACGAAGGCTAGCGCCAAGGTCAACCAGATGTCAGCCTCTCGTCCTTCTCAGCAGTCGGCTCAGCAACCTCATGGTCCTTCTCAAAAAATACAGTCCACACAATCGACATCTTGGGCTGATGCTGGCTGCCCGTGCTCGTACTGCAAGAAGGATCATTACATGGCCTCTTGCAGCGAATTTAAAGCTCTTTCGCCCATCGCAAGGAAGGAAACCGTCGACAAACTCTACCTGTGCTACCACTGCTTGGGAAAACACAGCATTAGAGTTTGCCAGACATCTCGAACGTGCAGAACTTGTCAGGAGAGGCATCACACACTTCTGCATCTAGATCGCTCTCGTCGCCCTGCTCCGAATCGACCTACTCCACAGACCTTCTCAGCTCAGCCTCAACCTCAGCAATTCGCCAGACCTGCTCAGTCATCTGGGGTAACCTCAGTGACTTATAACAATGCTGGGGAGGTCATCCAGAGCACCCCAGCTCCTCCAACACCGCAATGAGGGGCTCAATCCCAAACGGCCATCTCTTGCTCTGCTCATAGCTCTTCTCTTGGTTCTCGACCTGGTGTCCTACTCGCTACAAGTCTTGCTCTGCTCATCAGCCCTGATCATTGTTCTTCTCAGCGAGTATGTTTACTTCTGGATCCAGGCTCAGAACTGTCGCTCATTTCGGAATCTCTCGTGCGTCAATTGAAACTGATGAAACAGCGTAGCTCCATCCACATTTCTGGTGTGGGTGAGTCGTCGTTTGGGACAACGTCCGGCGAAGTTCATCTCACGCTACAATCGATCTACTCAGCAGAACGTATCGAAGTTATCGCTCATTCTCTTGATCATCTCACGGCATCTCTACCGACCTTCTCAGCAGAGGATCGCGAGTGGGATCATCTCAAGGATCTCAATTTAGCAGATCCGAATTTTCGAATCCCTGCTCCTATTGATCTGCTCATCGGCGCTGATGTCTTTGGTCGAATCATCAAGCCTAGCATTATTAAACAGGGGGCAGATGCTCCAGTTGCCCAGCTCACGAGTTTCGGCTGGATTGTATTCGGACCTACAGGCACAGCGCTAGCTCCAACACGACTTGCTCATCATCCCATTCGGCTGTCTCAGAGCTCTCCAATGATCAGCTCGAAGACCTTCTCTCTAAATTCTGGATCCAGGAGGAAGTTCCTGGACGAATTGACTTAGATCTCTCGGCTGACGAGCTTAGCTGTGAGCAGCATTTTCGTCAGACTCACTCTAGAGACAGCTCAGGTCGTTACGTCATTCGGTTGCCCCTCTCATCTCCAGTTTCGTTGTTAGGAAATTCTTATCGCCCAGCTGTATCCTGTCTCCATCGGATGATTGCTAGGATTTCCAAAGATCAGCGGTTGTTTCAGCTCTACTCTGACTTTCTCAAAGAATATGTCGATCTCGATCACATGAGGTTGGTAGTTCCTTCTCTTGTTAGCTCTTCGTCTTCGGTTCAGGTGGAGACCGCTTGTTGTTCTGACGGGATGACGTTGGCACATGAAGCTAAGGCTTCAGAAGGGTTGAGGGTCTCTGAGGAGCTTCGAGTAGGACCATCTGACATTCGCAGGAGTTATTACCTTCCTCATCATGGCGTAGTCAGAGAGAGCAGCGAAACAACGAAACTGAGAGTAGTTTTTAATGGATCAGCGAAGACCAGCTCAGGGAAATCGCTCAACGATATTCTCCATACAGGAGCCAAGCTGCAGCGCGACATATCTGATGTTCTTCTCTGGACTAGGCAGCACAAGGTCGTCTTCATGACGGACATCACCAAGATGTTCCGTCAGATCAGAGTCCATGAAGATGACTGGCCTCTGCAGCAGATTTTATGGATCGACTTAAATGGAGGATTCTCAACGTATCAATTGACCACCGTCACGTATGGGACTAGATCAGCTCCGTTTCTCGCGAATCGTGTTCTTCTCCAGCTCGTTGAGGATGAAGGGACAGATTTCCTTTAGCCGTCGATCCCATCGTGAAGGGAAGATACGTAGATGACATCTGTGGAGGTGCAGATACGCATGACAAGCTCGTTAGAACAGCTCAAGAAGTTCGCAATCTCTGTGCTGCCGGAGGGATGCCTTTGGCAAAATGGCACAGCAACAGCTCGATCCTGACAGCACCTCCAATGACCAGCGAATCTACGAGGACTCAGAAACCAGGATACTGGGGTTATCTTGGCATCCCAACTCAGATAACTTCGTCTTCTCAACCAAATCATCGCAGAACTTGACCGTCTCCAAGCGGATTATTCTCTCAGAAATTGCTCAGCTCTACGGCCCTCTCGGATTTCTCTCTCCTGTAGTCATCAGAGGAAAGATGCTCCTACAGGAAATTTGGATTGAGAAGCTTGGTTGGGATGATGACGTTTCGCCTCAAATAGCACATCGATGGAATAGCTTTCGTCAGGATCTCATCTCGTTGTCCAACGTATCTATACCCAGATGGATTGGATTGCTCCAGACCTCCGTTCTTGAAATACACGGATTCTCAGACGCCTCTCAGCTCGCGATGTCAGCCGTGGTCTTTCTCACGGTCTTCAATAATAATGAAGAGTCTTGCATCTCATTGATCTGCTCAAAAACTAAAGTAGCACCTCTCAAACGGCTGACTATTCCAAGGCTTGAGCTCTCAGTTGCTGTTCTTCTTGCTAAGCTCGTATAGTACGTTAAAGATCAGCTCGACTTCTTCAATGTGCGGACGTACTTATGGACCGACTCTTCAGTTTCGCTCACATGGATCAGCTCTCACCCTTCCAGATGGAAGGAGTTCGTTAGAAATCGTGTCCAGCTCATCCAGGAATTGACGGATGCTCAGTGGAAGCTCGTTCCTGGCAAGGAGAACCCAGCTGATTGCGCATCTCGTGGGTTAACCACAGCTCAACTCGCATCGCATAAGCTATGGTGGCATGGTCCATCATGGCTAAAGAAGAGCTCATCTCATTGGCCATCTCTGGAACTCTCTTCAGTGGCATCAGCTGATCTTGAAGAGAAACCTGGTTTAGTGCTCAACGTCAAAGTCCAGCGCCCAGAAATCTCGGATTTAGTACATCGCTATTCCTCGCTCAGTAACCTGCTCAGAATTACTGCTCTCTACCATCGTTTTATTGCTCGTCTCAGAAAAATTCCAGAATCTTCGTTAAAGACAGCTCTCAACCCTAGTGATATTGAACAAGCTGGTCTCTTCTGGATCAAAGCTAGTCAGTCAGCGCATTTCTCGTCCGAACTGATGACCTTGTCCAGAGGGCAAAAACTCAGACCTTCTCATCCGCTCACTCGATTGACAGCGCATATTGATCACCAGGGGATTCTTCGCGTTGGCGAACGTCTCAAGTTTGCTCAGCTCGACAATGATAGCAAACATCAAGCTGTCATTCCGAAAGAGTCTCAGTTTGCTCAGCTCATTATTCGGGATGCTCATCTCAGGGCTCTTCATGGTGGAACGCAGCTCACGCTTGGTTAGCTCAGACGATCTTACTGGATTGTTGGTGGAAGAGCACCAGTAAGATCATTCATTTTAAAGTGCGTTCCATGCGCAAGACAGCGAGGAATAAGAGCTCAACAGCTCATGGGTCAGCTCCCAGTAGCTCGTCTCTCACCTGGCCGTGCATTTCTCAATACAGGGATTGATTACGCTGGTCCAGTATCGCTCCGCTCAAGGAAAGGACGAGGCCACAAATCTTGTAAAGGATGGCTCGCAATTTTGGTCTGTATGGCTACGTCCGCGGTTCATCTCGAAGTCGTCTCAGATTATACATCTGACGGCTTCATGGCAGCGTATCGTCGTTTTGTTGCTCGGCGCGGGCTCTGTAGGAATTTATTCTCAGATTGTGGAACAAATTTCCTCGGAGCCGACAAAGAAATAAAAAAGCTCTTTTCAATGGCGTCCAAGGAATCGGACCAGCTTGCTCATCTCTTGCTCAACGACGGTACGAAGTGGTCGTTCAACCCACCAGGTGCTCCTCACTTTGGAGGAAAGTGGGAAGCAGCAGTGAAGTCGGTTAATTTCCATCTCACACGTACAATTGGAGAAGACCTGCTCAGATTTGAGGAACTTACCACCCTGCATACTCAAATCGAACCCGTGCTCAATTCTCGTCCACTTGAACCGCTCTCGGAAGATCCTGATGACATCTCAGCGCTCACTCCAGGACACTTCCTAATTGGACATGCTCTGACAGCTCTGCCTGAAGCTTCTCCGGATCAATTGAACATCACTCGTTTAACTCGTTGACAGCTCATCCAGCAGAAAGTTCAGAGCTTCTGGAAAAGGTGGTCCACCAGTTATCTTCAGCATCTCCAGTCCATCTCTAAGTGGCACCACCCATCTCACGACATCAAGATCGGCTCTATAGTTCTTCTCACCGACGAGAGATTTCCAGCAACGAAATGGCCTCTCGCTCGAGTTACCGCTCTCCATCCTGGTAGAGATGGACTCACCAGGGTGGTAACCATCAAGACGTCCAGCTCAACTCTTCAGCGGCCCATCGCGAAGCTCACCCTGCTACCCATCTCGATCAGTGACTTCTGATCTTCTAGTCCAGCACACCTAGATATTCTCAGAAGCATTGTGCTGATCAACGATAATTCATCTCGTCGGCTGAGTCCACCACTGCTCTGTTCTTGTCCAGACCTTGATGAGGATTTACGCCCTTCATCTTGGAGCCTGGGCTGGAGCGGAAGCTAGTCAGTCTTGACCTGCGGAATTTACGCCTCCAATTATTCTGACTGTGCTGGAAATTGATCGTCGCTGATGGACTCTAGTGGTGATATTGACCATCGAGTAATTATTATCCTGGCTCGATTAATCTCTTTTGTGTTCTAGATCAACTCATGAACGTCAGCAGTTGCTGACGGCTCTGGAGAATGTTCGGATTTCTACCAAATTTTTCTTTCACACACACACGCACTCAACTCACATGACCCACTCAGCTGATTGAATCGCTCACCTCAGATGACCAGTGGCCTTTTACCTCTGACACCTGAGGCGCCACTTGATGGACAGGTGTAATTGACCATCGCGATGATCGACACCTCCCACCTTGCGGCTTATCACTCTCTCTCAGTTTGCATTTCGCCGTTCGAGAGTATTTACGCGCATTTCGCAGAACTTCGCTTCTTTCTCTTTAATTAGACCTGCTCATTATTAGTTCTTCTCAGAACTAAATCTATAATTCACTCAATTATATTACGTATTGCTCAGCTCTTTATTGTGATATTCAAGTGTAATTAGTGACTCT